AAGGAGCTATTTTGTGGCATATCTGATTTCCCGGGGCTGCTAATAGAGAAATATCATTTACTCGAGCCGACAAAGTCTGCTTACTGTGATACTCAAATAATTGCAGAAAACGGCCCTAATACCAAACATTTCCAGCTTAGCTGATAGAAATGTAACCTACAGGATCAAAAGCCTTACCGCATTAATGATAATTGGGTTTCGGTAGAATATTCTTTTAAAATTTTCAAGCTAATAGAAGTTGCTGTAATCTAAGTAACCACCATCCACTTTCAGGATACTTGGATGATGCGCAATGATTGCAAAGGATTCGAACATCGAGTAAAAAATAGCGCAATGCTATTAAAGTAATTATCAACAGGTAATGGGGTATTCGAAGCCAAAAAACACTGCTCTCAACAGGTGAATTGAAAACGCCAGAACTTTTTCCCTCTGAGATCGCTCTTCTTGCGCTTTTCGAACATATGCATATTGCACCTTTAGCAATGAACTATGAACAGGTACCGCTCCCACCAGATTGCAGCAGCATACAACGGTCAGCTTCAGCAAAATATTAGAAATGTGAGACTTATGATCGACGATTAATTGATTGTCGGAAATGAGAAATAAAGGTAAAACGCTGCTACTAAATTTTGTAAAAGATGAAAGCGATATGTATTTGTTTTGTCGCAGCGAGTGTGTTGCTTGTAAGTAACGGCAGAATAACAAAATAAAGCAGTTTATTGACTGCGCGAAGGGTTTTTTATAGCATAAGTATATTCTTTTCAAAAACTGCTTTTGTCGCAAATGGATACGTCTTGTGAGCGAGTTTTGATCCTGAAATAAAGCTTACAGGTCACCCTTTTTTTTCATTGTGTTATCAGTAAACTACAACATACTGCCAAGGGCTTTATGTGGTTTTCGATCGTGCTCGGATATTGAAAGTGCAGTATTAATGTCCTCTTCATCTATTCCAATTTCCCATTCATAACGATCCAAAAATGAGCCATAAACTCTTTTTAAACCCGCTGCACACTAAAGATTGAGCGGTTTGAAGC